TTATCCCAAAATAAATACATTGATTTAAAGATTTAGCTGAAATAACAACAACTACATTTTGAATTTATGCACTACCTCGAACTGTATTTTCAAGCATAGACAGGCTTTAAGCACTCAGAGGCTGACTTTTAATTAGCACAGCTGACAGCACCATCCCAGAGCTGGTTTATCTTAATGTCAAAAGCGAAACTTCATTAAGTTTTCTAAGCAGCATAAGAAAATGCAAATAAGATAGAGCCCCTTAAAAGGCTTGTGACCGCTCTTGTCACTTTTATTGCGGATATGATTTTCACTCATAATCCCATTGGCTTCCCCTCATTGCTGTGTGTGTCGGCTGCATTCCCAGCTTGGCACCATACCCACATATTTCAGTGGTTCATCAGTGCCTCACCATGAGGATGGCAGAAGGTGACAGTTTTGTTTAGAGCAATGTACAGCCACAGCCCCAAGCCATCTTGAAGCTGGATGCAGTTGGAGGGAGCCAAATGCCTTTCCCAGCACAGCACCAAAACACCTCCTGCTGACACTGTGATCCTCCAGTCCTAGTGTCCACGTGTTACAGGCATTCAGGTTCCCTCCTGAGCTTGGAAAGCTTGGAAAATGAGCAAAATAAGTGTGTCTTTGCCTGACCGTGTGGTCTTGGACTCTTTTCTTTTCTGTGTTAATCAGCAAGTAGCAGCTGGTTTATCCAGCACCCCAAAGACCAGAGTGGCTGCAAGTGACCCAGGCCATATGCAGAGCATACAAGGCTGCAGCAAAAGCAGGGCATTGCCCCAGCTTGGAAATTAAAGGCTGCTGGTGACTTTCTGCAACTGGGAAATACAGATTTTCTCTTTTATTCGTTATCTGGATCTGGACTACAACTTATTTCTCTTTGCCTGTAAACAACACTTATTGGATTTAAAAAAAAAAAACAAAAACAACAATCAAGAAATACAGTGCCAAATATCTCTTGATTTAGTAGGAAGTGGCAGATTCTTACGTGCTTTTCCCCACCTCACATGTACTCTTTTTTTCAATCTCAGGACTGCTGTGAAAGGCAGTATCAAACTTTTGGAGCTGGCCCAGCTCCAGGGAATAACAAGGCCAGAAGGAAAATCTATTTTGGAGGATAAGGAGGGAGTTGTAAAGGAAATTAAGTCAGTTTATTATTTAAAAAAAAAAAAAAAAAAAAAGGTAGAAGGGCATAATGTGTTTATGTTCAACAATGATTTTATTACAATTGTGATGCGCAGTGACAGTATGTTAAATTTCGTTGTCAGCAGGGGACAACACGGAACAATTTGTGGCAAAAGGCAACAGATGCAATTCTGTCTGCAGCTTCACACATCTGCTCTGCAAGGCAGTGCTCCTCCAATAAGTCTCTAGGAGGGATCCAATAAAAATGATATAAAATTTTATTGTGTTAGTGGCACTAGTTATTAGAGTGAAGAACCAGAAAGCTTACCCAAGGGCTGAACCTTTCCTGTGTTTTAGTGCAGAGTAAATGATGAGGCTGTTGCTGGTAACAGCAATACTACAGTGGGAGAAGGTAAATTCATTTTGGAGTGCTTAGCACGCTGCTGGGGATGGCTTAAAAGCAGAGTGGGAAAGCTAATAAAAGAGTAATAGGCAGCAACACATCAGGAAGGATAGAAATGAAATGTTGAGGTGGTATTTAAATAAAAATAACCTAGGACTTGGCACTTGTGGTGGCCAAGCATTGCATATCACAGATTCAGGACCGGAATAAGAATGAAGAGCTGATCAAAGGAGATTAGGATGAAGGCTGGAGGTGATGTTTTGGAGCTGCAGCCTGCTCAGCTCTGCTCAGCTCCCTCTCTGCAGGGAAGGGCCCTCACAGCGGCCATCACCTGTGCCTGTGCTTCCTGGGGTGGATTGCTCCTGTTGTCTGAGGGGAAGGAGCTGACAGGTGCTGGAGCTGTGTCCGCTGAGGGAGGGAAGGGGAGGCGCCATGTTGGGAGCTGCCAGCCTGGCAGGAGATGGCTGCCATTGTCCCACCTCAGGTCACCCCATCCTCTCCAGAGCCTTCGCTGACTGATTTGGGTCACACTGACCCATTAAAGCAGTAGATTCTGTCATTTTTGTACGCTGTGGGCTTTTCTGGTACTACATAACTAAGAAATCCCATGTAACAGCACCTTCTTTTACAGACGTGTGGAGTGACAGACTTGAGAGCAATCACCAGTGTTCCCTCTCTTCTGTCTTCCCTGTGTTTATAGTACCGAGATGCTCCATAAAATCTTTCTGAATTTCCTGAGCATGGGGCTTAACCATGTTTTTGGGTATATCATATATTTTAGCAGGATATTTCATCAGCAGATTAGGCATCTCCAAGTGCTGACTGAACAATCTCTCTCACAGCAGTGTGGCAGTAAGGACGCCACAGTAGAGACAGTGGTTTCTCCTCTGGTCACATATCCTTCATGAAATGTAAATAAATACAACAATCTGAAACTTGTTAATTGTATTTGAGAATAAATCCACACTAAAACATGACAAACTAAAAAAAAAAAAAAAAAAAATTATCAGGACTAACCTGAAACAAAGTAATTCTGTGTTTTAGAAATGAAAACCAAATTCTGTTTGAAGAACTCTGAAACATTTTATCCTGGTTTATTTTGTTGGAGACAGTGCATCATTAAATTGTTGAAATGACCTGCAGTTTCTCTGTGCAGGCTGAACTGTTTACCAATTGGTACGATAATGGTGTAAATGCTTTGGTTTAGTCAAATGATGCAATACCAACTTACCTAACATGAGGCAGAGTTTTTTTTAAGCTCACTTCCTGAACGGAACCCAGCAATTTCAGAATGAACTGGAAGGATCTTTTTCCTTTTCTGAAATTTATTTCAGAGGAACACTCCTGAGCCATTTCAAATTCCAGCAACAATTTCAAAAGACCAATATTTTACAAGCTCACATGCTAGTGAGAGCAAACAGTGCTGTGTGGTAGTTGTGAGTTTTTGTTGTTTTTTTTTTTTTTTTTCTGAATAAATAAATAATCAGTTAGAGCTGGACTGGAGGAAACAAACTTTCCAACATTGATCTTCTGTTGGTCAGTTATGAAAAGTTTGGGGAAATGCACTGCCAGGAAAATATATTATTGATTGTTTTAGAATAACTAGAATAACTAGAGAATTAAAACAAGTCAATATTTAAGAAAAAAAATTGAGTTCTGCATAGGAAAAAGCCACTGGCAAAAAGACCGTGGTGGTAAATATGCTTAATAAATTTAGTGTTTCCTATGCATTTGTGACCCATTCCCTTATTTTCTCAATATATTGCACAATAAACTGGTAGTATAGCCCTAGAAAGCAGCTTATTTGACAGGCTACCTGAAGAAATGTAGAACGTAAGTGACAGTCACAAAGTAAGGAGCCACAGTCCATATCAGCTAAGATTTTGAGCCTTAAAACAGAAGGGAAGCAAAAAGAAAAAATACAGTGGGGGGGAGAGGAAAGCCATTGGAATCTTAAGTTTCTAAATTAGTATTTGGTCTGTTCTGACCAAGGCTCTGTTTGCTAATTGCTGGGAATGAGCTAACTGAAATGCTTGGATGCCCTTAGCACATCAGGGAATTCTTGTTCAGTAACGTGGAAGATTTCTGGTAGGCTATGGGTTCAGATAAATACAACTGGCATAATTTTCAGCTAGTATAAACATATGTTGCCTTACTTAGATAACTGTGTTCATGGATTTATGAGGTGATGACTATTTATTTTCATTTTGTGTTAGAAATCAACCTGAAAATCAAGTTAATAATTCTAAATGAGTCCTTTTTTTCCCCTCAGCTCCCAGTCATTCATTCATGCCTGAAAAAATGTTTTCTTTGATCAAAGGACTGTATCAGAACAAAGTGTATTCTTTTCATATTTGCTTTGTGATTCTGAAATCGCTCTCACATCAGTTTTCAGTTTTCATGGTTCAGGGACACCCTCGCAGAAAAACACTTGATGAGCATCTTGCAGAAATCCTGTTAGCAGAAAGCAATATAATGAATAAGCCTATTTTGGAGACCATAAAGTGCTATCATCCATACGAATAATCCTGAATAAACTGTCTGGTGCCCTGAAGCCCAGACTGTTCACAGTGAAAAACATGCATATATTAAATTAAAGGTATGATATATACGTATATATTTTTAACTCAGGTAAATGCATTAAATCCAGTTGCTTACTTTATCTACTGTCAGCATAAGGCTTCAGGCATCCTGGTAATGTAATGGCCATATATAACTCCATCAGCTATTGTTCTGTTGCAGATGACAGCACAGCTTTGTATTAATATCAAGTGATTATTAACAACGCTAATGTATTCATTTGTAGAGTAAGGGGTTATCATTTTTTAATTGTGTAGTCAGAATATTTTCTACACTTCCTTGATTAATATCACATTTGGAAACAGCTGGCCAGTGGTGCATCAGAAATGAAAACAAATATTTTATGTCTGTGTTAAGTTCAGCCCTTGTATTTCTCTGCTTGGATCCTGAACCATAGCTTTATAGCTAGAGCATGGCTTAATAACCAAGAGATTAACAGAAAGCACATTATGCATGTGCTCTAGCACACAATATGGCTGATCTTTTGTAGGTAATAAAATAAGCTCAAGAGTTGCAGGGAAGCTCTATATTAATGGGAAAAACCAAATACCAAAACCTTACTGTTTTCTTACAAAATGTCCAAACAGGTTTGACATAAGATATTTTCATTTTCCACCTGCAATGTGATGGCAATGAAAAACCTGGAGTTCTTGATGAAAATGGGGAAAAAGCAACCAGAAGAGGTTATATCTGAAATTTATTTCTCCCATTTTCTCTCTGACCAACCTATTCTGTATATTGCTCCTATTGAAATTTAGCAATGTATGTAGCATCTCAAACACCTATAGCAAACAGAAATATTAAAACAATGCTGGAAATGTTTCAAAATAGACTTATCTAGAGATCCTCCTGCAGACTGTGTATTACATCCTGATGTATATATCCTGTCTTTTTGCAGGTATTAGAAGACAGTGAGAGATGGATGGATTTACTTGACCCAAAGAGAGAATGCTGCTCTGCCAAAATCAACTTTCTGATGACAACAGCAGGGCCAAAAATTTGACTCAGGTGATTTTTGTTGCCCACATAAACAATTCCCCTGTGTGAAAGAGGAAGCCTGTATCTCCGTTTCTTCATTCCTGACTTATTAGGCTCAGCCACATGGATAAAGAGGAAATGATAGCCTCAAACCAATCAGTGGGGCAGTAGGTTTCAGAACTTAAACAAGATAAGGAACATTTGAAAACACACACGCACACACAAAATCAATGAATTTCTCAGTGATTTTCTAAAACAGACTCAGGTGTGATTACGTAAATGGTAAGTGATAAATGTGTTAAAGCAATGCAGATTCCTGCCCTGTAGCAAAATGGCCTCAAAGGCCAGCAGAGGTTTCTGTCCTATTTCATAGAATTGTGCTGTAATCAATACCAATGTTAAATTGTACTGTGTATAGTATAAGGCTATATTGCAGAAGTCTGGTGGCTTATGTGAGCCACAAATTGTTCCCAGGTGAAAGAGCCTTGCAAAGACAGACCCAGACCCAAAATTACCCAGACTTACTAAGGAAATGGAGAAAGCTGTGCTTTCAGATCTAGAGACATTCATATCACAAGCCAGCTGGCTGAGAATAAATTGTTTACACTTTTAAATTGATGGCTATTTTAGGTGATGTTTCTTTTTGTGCCATGCAGTCACTATGAGAAGGAGAGTATTAATTCCCAGAACATTTATACACTATTTACAAAAAATATATTAAGGCCAAGAAGGAGAGTTTTCAAAAACAGCAGACTGACCTGAGCTAAGACAACTCATGATAATAAGCCTTTTTAGTAGCCTTTCAAAATCACAGCCAAAGGGTTTTGTTTTATATGCACAGACAGGAGCACCAATATGACAGAGCATGGGTGTCCAACTCTGCCAAGGGATGCAGCTTCTGTGACAAAGCTCAACTTGAGGAACCGAATGTTTGAATTCCCTTGTATTGTGTAAACCAACTCTTCCCCTACTTGTGTGTGACTGAATTAGAAGTTGGGTTTTTTTCCTGTGTTTTGTATCTTGATAATACCAGTCTTCAGAGCAGCTAGTCTTGATGGGATATTTCAGGTTCTTTATGGAATCTTATTTTTCTGGATATTGTTGTCTTCTGGCGAAACAATATAGCTTGCTGCAGCTGCTACTGGGCTACACGGCACAGGCAAATTCCAATATGAAAGTAAATGCAAGAATGCAAATTGAACGTACAGCAACAAAGAATTAAGCTCTTGATTACAACCTTGGAAGCAGTGACACACACAGTAAAAAGAAACAAAAAGAAATAGCAAACAAAAAAAAACAACTCCAAAGATGTAGGAAATCTTCAGTGACTGACAACAGCCTCTTGGCTGAGCCATCACTTAGGTTTTTTCCTTTAGCTATCACAGAATGGATCAAAGTCCAGAGGCCAGTTCAGCAGAATTCTCCATCCACAGGGCTGGCTTTTTGAGCACACCATTATTCTGGGGATTCCATTAACCTTAATAGTCACAGGGTTCCTTAATTCTACTAAATGCAAACAACACTCCAAAGACCTCTCTGTTTGGGGTCTCTTGCTCTCCTGCAGACTTGATGTGGCTGTTACATGATCACATAAGCATTAATGAGGTATCTTTAACATGAAGTATGACAGCTCTGCTTTGTGGGAAAAGTTGTTGGAGTACTGAGCCTCTCTTGTTATGTCAGCTGAACTGCATTTAGAAATGTTTGTGTATTTTTTTTAATCCCTGAAGACTGCTTGTGTGACACTTATGTCTTTTGTCTTTGTGACCCTTTTACAGTGACCACAGAAGGCATTTTGAAACATTAGTCATTTTAGGGTTCATTCTGCTAAATAGAAATATGCCAGAGTATTTCTTGCTTTAAGAATGGCTTTTGAGATGCGGAAGACCCTTTCTTGCAATCGTTTAAAGCTGTGACAATTTTCATGTGTGCCTTTACAAAGCTAATCAGCAGCTGCATTTGTTACTTATCCCCAAAATACCGTTTTCCATCTTGGCTATGTTCCTCTTATGAATATTCATAAACATGATATGAATTAAGTGTGAGAAATGCGCTCTTATTTGAGGTGCTTCCTTCTGTTCATGTCTGTAGCATGCTGACTTTCTGATCTTCTTAAAGAAAAGGATAAATGAGTAAATGGATAGACGTGTAAAAGCTAGCGCTGGGTGTTGCCTGGCGACTAATAGCTGTCACAGCCAAATTAGCCAAGCTGCTCTGGAGACACAGGTGGTTAGCAAACAGGGACCTCAGAAACAGGAAAGAGCAAGGAGGAGACATTAGCTGGATTCAGGAGAGGAGGCAAAGGTGGAACACTTAGGGAGACGTGGGGTAAAGTTCCTGAGGTCATCTGTGCCGGTTTTATTTGTTCATGCCCTTTTTGTTACAATAAGAAATAGGTGGTAGTGTTTGTTGTTGGTTTTTTTTTTTTTTTATTGCCCTCATTTTTGTCTTTGCCTGACTCTGTAGTTTGTGCATGAAGGATTGGAACACAGGTGTTGTGAGTTTGTTCCAAATGTGTTGTTTGCCTGAGTAGAGCTTGCTTTTGTGCATTTCAAAGGTAAGCACACAACAAAGTGTAGGGAGTGAAATCACAAGTCATGCAATTAAGTTCCCATCTCCACACAATTTTTCCATTTCCAATACAACATGTAGTACTTAGGGATGTGGTTTAGTGAGCAGTATTGGTGGAGCTGGATGGTTGGACTAGATGATCTGTTCTAACCTTAACAATTCTAGGATAAGGTAGCTTATACAGAACCTCATGCTGAGGTTGCTTATTGGGCGTGGCTGTTGTTTTGTGATTCACTACAAGCTTATCTGGGAGAAAATTACATGTACTGGAGAAATCCCTGTACCTTGGAGGACATACTTGGAAACAGCTTCTGCTTTTACTAGAAAGGATCTATGTACTTGTACCAGAAATGCTGAATCATGGCCTGGTCTGGTGATTGAGCACCTGGTGGGAAGCAGGGCCAACCCAGGGGAGCACAGGTGCACGCCATTATGCAACGCACCTGTGTGACCAGAAGGGCTGGAGCCAGGATCCACCCCTTCCTAGATCACATTTAAGGGTTGGCAGTGGAGGTGAGGGGATCTTTCTGGAGATTTTTGCTGCTTGTGGCTTTTTGAAGGTAAATAGTTTATTGTTATTATTATTATTATTATTATTTATTTCTGTATCTATGGGTCTTGTATTTGAGTAGTTTGCTGCAGCCCGGGACCTTGCTGCTCTGCTGTTACTGCTATACTTTCCATTGTGTTACACTACTTAATTCTGTTTTGTGATTTGCTATGAATGCTGTTTCCTTTTTAAAGTATGTAGTAGCTTCTTACTTATTTGTATAATAACTCTATAAAAATGCTTTTCTTTTCCTTCTCAAAATAAGGGAACAGGAAAGTAGCTTTTCATAGGGAGCAAAAGTAGATATGAGAAAGTGAAATACAAAGCTAAGAAAATCTAGGATGAATGAGAATAGAGCATAGGAGAGTTACTGAAAATATGGAGTAAGGAAGTGTGTGAAGATAACTGTCCTAAACTTGTGATTGCACATTAAGTTCTGCTTTAATGATTCTTTGCGTTTTTAAAACATTCTTGCTCAGGTTGTGTTTCAAGCTTATTTAATTTCTGCTTGTTTTTCACTTCTTGAAAGTGCTGTGAGAGATAAATATACCCTACTAAAAATAAAACACAATTCAACTATGGAGTACTGCTGGTGATTGCACAAGAAAGTGAAGCGTGGGTTGTTTTTGCATATCTCTTTTTATTTAATGAGTAGTCAGTGTTAACCTTTCACCATATGTGAGGAATAAGAAGTGATCAATACAAAGCTGGATATTTGCCAAGGAGGGATTATTTTCTTTTTTTTTTTTTAAGATGAAGAACATAATAGTATTATTCTTTCAAATGTTTATCTTAAATTTTAGTCTGTGTTGTTTGTGGAAAAAAATGTGTAAATCTTATTTCTTTTTGCTATTCTAGAATTAGTAAGAGCTGAAATCCTGATTGCTTCTGGAGTTGTTGGAGGCTTCTGGAGATGTACATCATAAGTTTGTACAGTGTTTCTGAAGGTAAGAATGGCTACCGTGCTTTCTCTTGGATGGAGGAGAAACTGGGGGCTTCAGCTGACCTTAAGGGATTTCCATGAGTCCGTGCTTTGAGTGTATTCAATTTGCCCTATAAGAAAAAGGGCCGTAATCATTCAGAAGCCCAGATGTAGTGTTGCATTTAAGCAATCAGACCTTTTTACCTCTGAACTGCTACAGTGGTTTTTAAAGTTTCTTACTGCAGTTGAAGTCAAACTGTTTGAGCAAAAGAAGGCTTGTGGGTTTTGTTTTTTTTTCCTGAGAACTTGATATACTTGGTAAAGGTATGAGCCGTGGTTGTTACAGGTAACACCATGATGAGATGAGAAACTTAGTATATTTAAGACCTTCACATAAGCTCAAAAATGGGAAGTATGTTGGAGAGAATTAATTGCAGTCCTGCTACAAAACTGTGGGAGACTGGTATTGAATGTTAAAGCAATAGATATAATATGAACCCAAAGCATCATTGGAAGCAACAGAAGTAGATGAGATGAGCTGTTTTTAATTTTCCTATGAAATGTTGCAGCATGCTCACTGTTGGAATGTGTGTACAGTCAGTGGGTCAGACTGTCTGGTAACTGATAGAGAACTCGTTTCACCATTTCTGATATCCTAAAGTTTTGGGTCTCCAATAATTTAGGGCTTTATTTTTCTAGTAGCTGAATATGTGCGTTTGTATGAATAGAATATAATAGAATTTGTATGAATTGAATATAATGCTTTGCTCTCGTGCACTAGCAACTTTGTGAATACAGGAATACAGTTTTCCAGTTTGTTCATGAACAGCCTGGCTGTTTTGAATTGCCCGTTACATCTGTAGGGTGAGACTTTGAACTATAAGACTAGAGATTCTCTCTGATCGATGCTACAGGGTGATAGGTTGGTTATTTTCCTTTTTCTTTTTTGTCTCATTCCTGTCTTTCTGCTATGATCCTCTTTCAAAAAGGAATATTAAAATGGGATCGCATTCTGTATGTACTTTTCTGTAACCAATGAAAAGTGAACACTTGCATTTACTCTGACCTCATCTTGCTACCCGGAAACTGTATTTCTGATTAATTTATTTCTTTCGGGACAATTAAAAACCTGTAACTTCCTGGAAAGTAAGGGGAGGGTGATCAATAAAAACTGTTTTCTGTTGCTGCAGATGGGAAGCAGACAATGTTTGCTTTTGCTTGCTGTCCCTGAGCTAGTGGCCCTGCTAGTCGGCAGCCTGTGGCATCTAAAATAACTGTATATGGTTTCATGAGAGTTTCTGACAGATAAACTGAAATGAGATGTTCCTGATGAAAGGAAAATGGCCGAGAAACTTTTTTCTCTGGGTTCCACTTTATTCTTTCTGTCTCAGTTCCACCTCACCTAGCATGTTATGTTAATCACTTGGACAGCACCATTTTCCTAGCACCTACCAGCCTGCGAGTCTCTCTTTCCACCTGCTTTTTAGAGATTAGTTTCGTGTTATGATCTGCCAAAGTAACCTATCTAACACCTAGCTGCTGAAATTGCAGTAGCAGTTTCACATTGCAGACAAAATCCCATCAGAGCTGGAAATTGTTTCCTTTATGTGAGTGGCAAGGCAATTACCAAGCTGAGTGACATGGGTAGAGGAGTGCATTTACACTAGAAGCTATTGCTATGGCGGAAACTTCTGGCAGGAAAGCAGTGACTGACTGACATCCTTTGGCTTATTATTATGGTCCTTGCATAAATGAAGTAGGAGCAATGACTGTTACTGCACTTCTAATCAACGAAGTGTTATGCCAGTAATTAGGTTTCTACTAACTCACAGCTCCTTTCTAGCATTAATTGGAGGAGGATATGCAGATTGTTGGTTAATAATAGAACAGTTATAGTTCTATAATCACTTTTTTATGTTCATCAATTTGTTTGATTGCTTCTGTGGCAAACATTTGATCCTGCATGTGTCTATTCAGCCATCAGATGCTTTTATAAACCTCATTGTTTATCAAGTTAGTGACATCTTAAAGTGCTGAAACTTGCTGAGCCTAATAGCAGCAAATATAGAACTTTACTTTGCAATATACACAGTGGGTCCTTTCAAAGAAAGCTCCAGATTGTCCAAACCCCATATGGATGTCAGGGATGGGAACAGTGTGAGCTGTGTGCTGAACCTATTTTAAACTCCCACTCGTGATTTCCAAATACAGCACTCTGTCAGAGAGCAGGCACAGAGAGTTTTTGGAACTACAGTACTCATATAAATAAAAGCTCCAGGAATCTGTTTTGGCAAAAGCATTAATAATTATTACATTACCTGCTTATGCTGCTAAAACTAAAATTGGAGCCTTATGGATTATTGTAATTGGATGCAGATCATATGTATAATATTTCCTGCCCAAAGAATCCAAAAAGCAGAGATCCATTTTCTTCTGTAAAAATGGGTGTAGGGCTCTGGGAGGGGAGTAAGTATTCATTTACTGCATAGTGACAGATGCATTCTGTCATTCAGTGTCCCTTGCAGGCTGTTTTATGGCCCCGGTGCCCAGAAAAGCCAAACCTGAATGAATTTTCCCCAACCTTTTGGTCAGTGTTGCTTACTTGAAATCAGCTCTGCATTAACACAGCTTTCAGTTTGTTCTGCCCCTCCTCATTTGCAGCTGTCTGGAAGATGCCATCTGGCCATACATTAACAGACTGTTAAGTTTGTTATTGAACTAGGGACCAAATATCTATATCCACTATGCCACTAGTCAATGTATCAGCCTGCTGTTGATGCTACGTAGTCACAAACCTGTCCTCAGAATTTCTGTAAAATGAGAGAGAAGTTATCCAGCAGAGTGGCAGCCAGTTCTTTTGCAAAATAAATGTGTTATAAGGCTCAGCTAAGCTGCTTTTTGCACCTCATGGGGGAAGAAAAAGTATGTGGGAACGGTCATAGCACAGGAGCATGAACAAAGAATTCAACAAATTCACACATATGTTTGATTTTATGCTAAAGTGAAATATGATTTCATTTTTCATGGTAGCTGATTTCAGGTTTATATGTGAGGCCTCTAGATCTGAATTCATTAGGTGGTCATCATGTATGGAAGTTAGCTGGTTTGAAATATTGTGGCTTTGTGATACGATACGACTTCTGAATGCTGTCCTCCAGCCTCCCTACCCAGTAAGTAAAATTACAACTTGTTTGATTCTGTTAAATTCATACCAGATAACTCCATAAACTTGTGGCTTGTATTTCAATCAGTTTCTTGCAATGCCCTTTGCTGGAAGGGGGTAAGAGAGAAATCAAATGTCTGCAGACAGAAAACTAGACTTGAAATAAACCATGACACTGTAAGAGTCTGCTTTTTTCTGCTCTGCATTTATTTGTGTGGATTTTTTCAGCAAACATTAAATTGTTCGAATTTCTGCTTGATTTTGCACCACTAGAATATGCCACATGAAATAATGGATTGATAGTAGGTTCTGAGAGGCCTCTTCCTTGAGGGCCAGCTGCTTGTAAGTAATTCATAATTATGTTTGTAACCAGTTTAAATACCCACACTGCTGCTTTTCCGGAGGTACTCTCTGTGGCTGGAATGGTAATCTGACAACCTGATATGAGGGAGAATCTTTTGTACAAGTTGTGCCTTGATAAACCAAGAGTAATGCCTTTTAAAAGCTGAAGTCCATTTCCATGCCCTGTTGTGGGCAGTGAAGCAGGTAGGACACTTGTGTAATGCTTCTGTTTTCTCAGCTGACACTTGAAGATTGAATGTGATTACATAGGTACATGTGTTTTGTTTGGGTACTCTTCTTCAAAAGCACTTGTCTGGCATACAAGAGCAAATGTGTAGAAAACATGAACTGCAAGCAACAACTCAGCCTCTCAGAAGAATGCATATGCAGGAAATACTGTCAACATACTTGAGATAGAGCTGAGAGAGATGGTTACTAGGTTTGTTTGTGCTTCACATCTTATTTAATCTTTTCTTGAGTAAAGCAAAGTGACAGGAACCTCCAGCTATCTTCAAAAAGGCTTCCAACTATGGGATGCTGCTTATTCTAACTTTATTTGAAATAGTTGCTTACTTTCAAAAAAAAATAAAACCATTTTTCAGGATACATACTGGGCATGGAAGACTTTTTTTTTAAACTCTGATTTCATCTGTCACATTAATATATTCCTACAGTGTTTGAATAGTGGAAGTACAAAAGAGTTTCTGAGTAAGTTAGTAGGGGGAATGTGCATCTTGAACTTCAGAAAGCAAAGTGACATCCAAGGAGCTCATGGTGCTTCCCTGTTCTTAACACTGGCAGTCTTGAAGTCTAAAACTTTTTCGTATCTTTCCTGATATAATTCAAGTTTCTTCTCTGATCCACCATTCTGATATCATTCTTTTGGCAGTTCTTTATTTGAAGAGTATTGCTATCTTCTCCTGCCTTATTTTTTTTCTTTGTGTTCATCAAATCCTGTTCTGTAGCTTGTGTTTTCTAGGTCTCTTATTTTCCTGACTCTCCCTTGATCTCTGTCCATTTGAGCTACGTTCTCAGGATCATAATACTTGAATCTAAATCTGTCAAGACACCTTAATAGATTGGCTGCAAAAATATGTAAATGCAATATCTATTTATAAAGAGACTTAAATCACTGCTTAGGTGAAATCATATGTTTGTCTAACAGTTTTTGGTCTGCAGTTAAGCCCATGGCTATGCATGTTATGTAGATTCAGATGATACTGAATACTATTTTCAGAGCTTGTTTTACCAGCATTCTTGTTCCTGTAAGATCACAGTGACTGAAATCTTTGTAATCTTTAAAGTAATATCCTCAAAGATAGAAAAGTACTATTCTCAGAGGTCACGTTACATGAGAATCTGGAACTTAGAGATATCAGAATTAGTTCCCAGTGTTGTCAGGGTGAGAGACCACTACCTTAAGAGTTCAGCCTGTTTGCTAGGGTGTATAAAAAGGAACTTTAAATTACACTCCTAGCTGAAGTGTGCTATTCTTTTCTTAAAGAAGTGGCTGCAGATTC